ATAATTATTACACCGTAATATATTTTAGCTAAATTCAATAAAGAAATAATACAAATGAAATAATTTATTATATTCAACTCTAAACTTATAAATAACTTTATTCATACCAAAATAAATAAATAACATAGAGTAATGTAGTAAACAAAGGATGCAAATAGCAGAACCTTTCTGTGTATCCTTAAGCCCAATCATCTCTGAATTGTAACGTTACAGAACACCCAACGGCTAAATTTTGTTATGTTTACTCCCAAAACAAAAATTCACACTCTTTCTCTTCTTCTCTTCCAAAAAACCGAAACCTAACACACAGGAACCCGTTCAGTGTCTGTTTCAAGACAAGACTGAATTTTGATGATGTTTTCGGTAACCCATTTTTGTGATTGAGTAGAAAACACAACCAATGGGTGTTGGTGGTAATTTCTGGGATTTGTTGAAGCCCTATGCACGCAATGAAGGTTTTGATTTCTTGAGAAACAAGCGAGTTGCTGTTGATCTTTCCATCTGGATTGTGCAGCATAACAATGCCGTTAAGACTCATGTGAAGAAGCCTCACCTTAGGCTCACTTTCTTCCGTACGATTAATCTCTTTTCAAAGGTTCTCTCTTATTCCCTTGATAATGTGATGGAAATGTTGATGATTTTAGGTTTTGTGTTGATGTAAGTGATTTTTTTGGAACTGTTTTGTTTATTTAAGAAAAAAAAATTGAGTGATTGTTTAGTTTTGGGTTAGTTTAATTATATGATTGTTAGGAAGTGCGATATTACCTTTTGGGTTATGTTTGAATCTGGTTTAACACTAATTGAGGCTTAATGAATTGAAATGTTTATAGTGTTAGCTTATTTGGGGATACTTTGATAAACATTGATTTTTTTAATCCCTTTTGATTCTATAATAGAAAAATGAAGAGATGGTTTGGTGTTGGATTTGGGTTAGTTTAATCAAATTATGGTTGTGAATTTGTTATTATCTTTTTAGTTAAGTTTGAGTATGGTTTAACACCGATTGAGGCTAAAATGAGTTCAAATTGAAGTACTTACGTTTAAGAGTCTTACATTGGGTAATATAGTGCATGAACATGTGTTTAGCAGGGGAATCCTCATCTTACAAGCCACCGATTGAGGCTTAATGAACTTAAATTGAAGTACTTACATTTAAGAGTCCATAAAACATATAATATAGGGCCTGGACATATGTTTAGTAGGGGCATTCCTCATCTTAGGCCCAACCTCAAATTCTAAGATGGTATAAGATCTTTTGGGCCATATCCGCTATCGGAGGTTAAGTTAGTCCCAACCTCAAATTTTAAGATGGTATAAGATCAGTTGGGCCACCCCCACCATGCACGAACGCAATGGGTGTGTTAAGAGTTCCACATCAGAAAATATATGGTCCGGACATATGTTTATAAGTGGGAGAAATTCTCACCTTACAACCGGTTTTATAAGGTTGAGTTAGGCTCAACCTCAAATTCTAAAACTTACTATTGATAGTATTAGTATTTGAATAGAGTGGACTGAAATTTAACGGTTACTAACTTAGTGTTCCATTTTTCCTTTTAGTCCTTTTGTGTTGAGGTTCTATGGAATATTCAAACAAAGGATGGAAGTGATGTTTGATGACGATATAATATGTGTTCTTTTTGTAGTTTGGAGCATTTCCTGTGTTTGTTGTTGATGGGATTCCATCGCCATTGAAATCAAAGGCCAGGAGTGCTAGATTTTTCCGTTCTTCTGGAATTGAATCAACTAGCTTGCCAGTTTCTGAAGGTGTTTCAGCTGAGAGGAACAGTTCATTTTCAAGATGTGTTCAAGAGTGTGTGGTGCGATAATTCTCACCTTGATTGCTATCTACATGAATTATTGTGCTGACTCTAATTTTGCATCCATTTGCTAAGATGTGACCAATATAATGACTTTTATACCGGAATCTTATTTGCTTTCCAGATGTCTTTTTTGTTTTTTAGATGTTCTTTTGGCAGGCTTTTCCTTATAGTTAATTGGTGATAGGAACTTGCTGAGCTACTTGGGATTCCTGTACTAAAAGCTAAAGGAGAGGCTGAAGCACTCTGCGCCCAATTAAATAGTGAAGGTTATGTAGATGCGTGCATCACATCTGACAGTGATGCATTCCTCTTTGGGGCCAAATGTGTTATAAAATCTTTCTCTCCCAATTCCAAAGTAAGTAACCATCTTCTTTATATTTTGTTTCTTACCTTGGCAATTTTACGATACCCTTTGATTTGTCTGTTTGATTGCAACACTTACATCCATCATTGCATAGACCACTAAATGCTAGCATGATTCATGAATCTATATGCCCTGATTTACTCCTTTTCTACTCAAAGGATGTACTTGAGAGTTGAGAACACTTGTTGAGATTATTGACGTTTTAGAGAGACACAACATCCTTCTGGCGGGGATGATTGAACCAAAAAATATATAAGCTCTGATGTTCCTCTTGTAAAACTTCTTTTTCAATTAGCATCCTGCATTCTCCTACCTCCCCTTGCTGTACTTTGGAAAGTTGAGGTTTAGTTTCTTTGCCATTTTTTAGTATGGTTAAGATTATTTTTTGCATGCAGGAAGCGTTTGAATGCTACAATGTGTCAGAGATTGAGGCCGGGCTTGGATTGAAGAGGAAACACCTAATAGCTATCGCTCTATTGGTCGGAAATGATCATGATATGAGCGGTGTTCAAGGGATTGGACTTGATAGTGCTCTTCGTTTTGTTCAAGCTTTTAGTGAAGATGATGTATTGAATAGGTATGAAATAGTGTTCATAAATGAGTGGTTTCATTGAACGGAATGTAAGAGCGGTCCTGATTGATGATGATCTTTAATGCAGATTACATGAGATAGGCAAAGGGAATGCTTTTCAAGTTGCTATCGACAATAAATCTGAGGACAATATGGATATTGATGGGAACTCCCCAAATTCAAAACAACCTCACTGCTCATTCTGTGGTCATCCAGGCAACAAAAGAGATCATACGAAGTCTTCATGTGAACTTTGTGTCACAGATGACAAGGAAGGTTGCTTGAAAAAAACAGAAGGTTTTAAATGTGATTGTAACTCTTGTGGTATGGTATGGCCTCTAGATTAATTTAGTCATTGTTTCTGATTTGTTGTTATTAATTCTTTGCTAGTATTAAAACACGTATACATGATATTTGTTTGACAGAATAGGAAAAACAAGGAGCAGAAAAAGATTGAAAATTGGCACACGAGAATTTGTGACAAGATTGCAAAGGAGCCAAAATTTCCAAAGGATGAAATCATTGATATGTACTTATGCAATGACAATGGTTATTTTTCCAGTACGTGTCAACCTGAGAAGAATATCATCAATGTCAATATTTTTTTGTATATGATTGATCTGGTAGAGTTGCTTTAAGTGTATTATTGTACTTACTCATTCTATATTATTGTTTACACAACTTTGTTTGCAGCATCTGACGGCCCTAAGATCTCATGGGAAAGACCAAAAATTGAGCTACTGATAGATTTTTTGAACTTCCATCAGAACTGGGATCCGTCGTACATTCGACGGATAATGTTTCCTATGATGTCCACCATCTTCTTGAGAGAAATGGCTACAACTACTACAACAGATAGTTTGTTATTTGGACAGTTTGAGTTTAATTCTGTAAAACGTGTGAAGACGAGATACGGGTATCAGATTTATGTCGTCAAGTGGAAACGTGCGATGGGAAACATTGCCTCCAAAACTCTTTCAAGTCAATCTGGCACTCAAGAAGATGCTATAGACGTTGATGATGACACGGTAGATCTACTTGACGATTGTGATTCTCCTGAGATTTGCGAAGAAGATGGGTGTAGTTTTTTGTTGACAGATGAAAATATGGACCTTGTTGGAGCTGCTTATCCAGAAGAAGTGAGAAGGTTTTGGCATGAACAGGTGTTTATTTTTTCTCACATGGCACATGGTTTATCAATTATCATCTTTTAGAATGATCTTTTGTGTTGAGATCTAAATGATTTAAGTTTGCAGGAGCTAAAGAACGCGAGAAGGAAAAAGAATCAAACTTCAAAATCTCAAGAGAATGAAAAGTCGACATCATCACCAAACTCGAGTGGCGTCCAGTTAAATATTACAGAGTTCTTCCCAACAACCAAAAGTAAACACAATTCAAAACACGGAGAAGAGTCATCATCGAGAAAAAGTGATAGCCCGGACAGTGGAAGCTCAAAAGCGAAGAGAAAATCGCCGAGTCCTAATATTCCGAAATCTGTGAGGCGTCGCCTTTTGTTTGATGACTAGTGTGTATATATGCTTTGAGCATTTGGATCTCTTGTAATCATGTTGAAATAGTGACAAGAGACCAAGGGTAGTTCAGTGTGTGTGTAGTTAAGAATTAGTTTGAATAATGACATTAGTTTCTGTTTCTCTCACTCTCTTGTTGAACCATGTTTCCATGTAGTTTTCCTTTCATATTCTCTCTTTTCTATGTTATTCATATCTCTACAAAAATTATAAAATCATCCATCAATTTAGAATCTACCTAGCAATCCAATTTCATTTTCACCATTGTCTATTTTATTTTATTTTTACAACATTATCTATTTTATGTTATTTTTAAAGAGAAATGTTGAAAGAATATTTTCTTTTCAACGGTCTCTTAAACACTCACTTATCTTATATTTTTGTTAAATTTTCACAAGAAATTTAAGTTATCTCATCAATTTTTATGGTCCTTCTGCGTTATCGACTCTTATTCTTTTGATATTGTACTCGAGTTCGAGCGATATACAAAGTGTTGTTTATAGATTACAACTAATCATTCATGTTATTTCATAGTTGATGGATGACACAATGATTCGAAGAAATTTTACATTAGAAATAATCATTATCTACAAGAGTTTGGCTAAGTTAAAAACAAGAAATTTTACATTAGAAATAATCATTATCTACAAGAGTTTGGCTAAGTTAAAAACACGAAGCAAGATTGTAACGGGAATAACGAACAACAAAAAAACATGTCTCTTTCTCACCAATGCTATCTTCAAACACTCCCGCCAATATCTCACACCGCATCCTTCAACTGCCACAACAAACTGCCGCAAAAACCTTATGGCGCCCGACGGAGTCCAAAACTATACATAGCTTGTGCCCGTGGAAACAACCGAGCTTCGACGCCAAACAAAGACAATTACCATGCTACTCTCAAAGCTCTTAACTCCAAAGGCAGATCCCCTAGAAAATCTCTCGGCCAGGTGAGAGTATTGTAGATAACCCATTGAGTTGTAATCCTCCGAAATTCATTTTTTCATTTGTTTCGGAGAGAATTTTTCGGGGTTCTTTATGGGGCATTTTATCGAACATGAGGTGTGTGTTGTTTTCAAACTTAATTTTGTGCTCATTTTGTTTGTTGTTTGAAATTATAAGTTATTTTAATGGAGGTTGGTTGTTCACTTCATTATGTGCTTTGGTGTGACATGAATTTTTTTTATTGATTTCTTGTTTGGATAGTTTGGAGATGGGTTTTCATCGGGGGGTGTTTGGTCTAAAATGAATTTGCTTAAATGCTTATGACTTTTTCTTTCATTTTGGGTGTAATTTAATTTGCAGAATTATATGCTGAACTCTGACATAAATGAGCAACTTGTTGGTGTGGCTGGTGTTGAGGAAGATGATGTGGTGCTGGAAATTGGACCGGGAACCGGTTCCTTGACCAATACTCTTATAAACTCGGGTGCATTTGTTCTTGCGGTTGAGAAGGTTTGCAGGTTTTCATTTGTAGTTTAGAACTAATTTTAATGCAAAGACACACTCTCATACTTTCCATGAGTCAGTTTGTTTCTTTGCAGTTTCACAGTTTGTCTACATGATGGAAACAGTTAGTTAGACATGTTTGCATATGTGAATGTTTGGAAATAAAGTTTATTTGCGTCGTTTTTGGTCTGTCTATTTCTGTTAGATATTATTGTTTGCAGTGTAGGTTGTGTAGACTTTTCGAATTTGTTATAGGTTTAAGGGATCTTTTCATTGCTATGTTTTACTTCAACTCAAGTTTACACTTGTGTCTATCATTCATGGAATTTAGGATAAACATATGGCTGCCCTCGTAAGTGAAAGATTTTCAAGTACAGGGAAGTTGAAGGTAAGACTCATGACCTTTTTGAACTTTATATCGCATGCCTCTAGTCTTCTTGTTGATACGATGCAATCTTTGGAGAAGGGATATAATTCTCTTGCCATATTATCAGGGAAAATCGAATATGCACTGTTTTGATGGATGGTATTTCATCCTCCAATGCCTGTTTTTTATGCTAAAATAATGATAGTTTAAAACTGGTTTTTCTGTATAGTTAAAGTTTACCTTTTGATAATATGTTTTCAGGTTTTGAACGAGGATATCGTCAAATGTCATGTGCGCTCGCATATATCATCACTGTATGAAAACACAAAGGAAATAGATCCAGATAGTAGAAAAGCAAAGGTGAGGATTCTGTTCCTCAAACTAGCAAACAACAATACACCAATATTTTTTCATTCATTTGTAGAATTATAGAAATGTATCGGCCACTTGATGAAGGAGCGTGACTTGACCTTAACATTCAGCTCCACTCATCCTCTTAGAAAATATATATCATATTTTCCACTTTGCATGTATAGCAGAGAGAACTATGGTGGGTTTAATAGGTCAAAGGCCATTGGTTAGTTTGGAGCTTTCTTTGGTAACTATGCATAATGAGTTGGTGGATTTGTCAGAAGTAACCCACTAGCCAGCGACCTAACTGAATGACATAAACCTAAATGAAAGTCATTTGGCAGCTTAACTTCATGGTTCCTAAACTAAGTAGCAATATTTTAACCATGATGTTTCGGTTGTTTGCTTTTCCAAATTAATTTTACAAGACTATGGCAGATTCTATGTAACTTATCGTAAATCCTGAAATGTATGTTGTTTGTAGGTAGTTGCCAACATTCCTTTTTATATCAGTACAAATGTGATCAAACTACTACTTCCAATGGGTGACATTTTCTCAGAAGTGGTTCTATTACTTCAAGTTAGAATCGATTCCTCTCAAGTCTAGTGTAATGTGTATTCATACCTGATTCACTATAGCTGATTGTAATCGTATCTAGTTTCTATTGCCCTCCTTATTAATAGTTTTAATGTAATAACCGATATTGACTAAACAGATCAAACTATTGCAGGAGGAGACTGCCATGCGTTTGGTAGAACCATCACTCAGGACTCCTGAGTATCGGCCCATCAATATATTTGTTAATTTCTACTCAGGTGCATAAAAATAATAGGAGTGCTACATATATTGGTTGGCAGTTCCTATCCTCTTACAATCAAGGATCACAAGTTTCCATATTGTAAATCAAATGAAACTCATTAAACCAATCCAGTAATGGAAGTGCTTAACCTTTGTTGGCATTCATGACTCAAGGAAATAATTGTAAAAAAAGAAAAAGGATTTCAATGCTGTCCTACTGTATTGACATTTAGTTTATTTTCTGCTGAAGCCCTGACTTTCCTTTGCAGATCCTGAGTACAAATTTAAGGTCGAAAGAACAAATTTTTTCCCTCAGCCTAATGTAAGTGATATAATATTTATAAGTACCTGAATGATCTAGATTGTGGTGTTTTTTTTATATGAAGTTAAGAACAGATAAACTATAAGATAGCTCATGCTAAAAACTTCTTTCCATGTGATTTTTTAGAATAATAATCCAATATATGCGAGGGACATTGGTTGTATATGTGACTTTTGAAATCAAGAGATATCTGTGTGTTAAAGTTTAAAAAACATTCTATTATCTGAAACTCGGTTTCAAAAAGCTAGTAACTTGTGGCTTTCAGAATGTATATTTGTCACTGACTACCATAATAAAGTGTATGGGGAAGTGCTTCTCCCCCTTTTGTTTGCACTAGAATCTAAAACAAACTACTATAAAGCAAAGTGGCTTATGAAAAAATTGTGTCCCAATGTAGTTTGATACCGAGCCACATGAGATATAACACAAACAGAAAATGTAGGTGATATCTATGAAGCAGCTATTTTAGAATAAAGTGAAGGCCATTACTAGTAATGACAGTAAAGAAAATCATTTTATTTAACTATAAAAAATGAATAAGGGATGTCAATACAACAGGTGCAGTAGGTCTTCAAAAAGCCAGGCAATAAGGTTATTGGCCTTTTTTTTTACATAACAGTAGAATTTGTGGATGGTGGCAGAAATCAGTCTGATTCTTTTTCATGTTTGTCTAGGTTGATGCAGCCGTTGTCTCATTCAAACTGAAGCAACCATCCGAATATCCCCAAGTATCGTCAAGTAAAAGCTTCTTCGCACTGGTAGCTGCCCTTTCTCTGTCATACATTGTCAGGAATTGAGTTTCTAAGGATTTTCATCTTTAGTTTCATTAAAGTCTTGTTTTACTCTGAAATATCCCATTGCACATTCGTTACTAAAAACTTGGCTTGCTATTTGAATGTTATCTTCCAAGCTATCTAAAAAAAGACAATGTCACACACATAAACACCTCTTTCACTATTTTTTCCAGTAACAGTTCAGTTCTATATACTTGTAGGTTAATTCAGCATTTAATGGGAAGCGCAAGATGATACGCAAGACACTACAGCACATATGCACATCCCTTGAGATAGAAGAAGCTTTAGAAAGCATAGGTCTTCTAAGTACTGTGAGTTATCAGTGAGTGCTACTCTTTCTTATCGATATTTTCTTTCTCAAGGATTTTGCTGACTCATATATATGTTCTTCTGATGTTTATAGTCAAGGCCTGAAGAACTAACAGTGGACGATTTTGTAAAACTGCATAACTTAATTACCAAAGAGTAGAAGTTCGCATTTCCATGGAATTGAAGACCAAATTCTCTAGCAGAAGGTCCCAAAGATTCCCACATTCACAAGGCTCTTTGTTGTAGTAGATACATTATTCAAACAGAGAACTGAAGTAGATTGAGAGTCATGATGACATCTCGGGTTAAGAATATATTAGAATCACAACAATTTTCTTCAACAAATGTATCAAGAATAGGGGCATGGTGTTCAAATATGATAGAAACTACAAATTATTCTATGTCCTACAGATATAAAGAAAAAAGATTCCTGTAGCAAGATGGAGAATCGAAACAACAAAAAGAAAATTGTCATGATCATTATCAGCCATGAAACTGGTACACAAGGTCCAATGCCTTCTTCATCTTGTAAGAATGTGGATCATAATCCTTAACAAACCCATCATCGGAAAGTCGCCTGTTGTCCCCTTGTGCCACCACAGACGGTGACAGGGGCCGTTTTGGTCGCTTATTTTTTATGAAGCATTCTCGTAATTTCTCCTCGACTTTGTCAACTGTGCACTTTGATGTCTCTTCATCATCATCATCGTTGTCTCCGTCATCACCTAGCTGCATAGGAGCTGCACCGTTGGCGGAGGAGACAGAGTTTTCTGCCGCCGGAGGAGGTTGAAGGGTGGAGAGGAAAGCTGTGAGTTGATGGTGGGCTTGGTGTAGGGAAGTGTGGATTTGATTGAGATGAATTGGGTTTGTTGAATTTGATGACGATGATGATAGTTGTTTTGCCATGAAAGTGGCTTGTTCTAGAGAAACTATGAGTTGTGATAATGATGATTGTGGTTCTTCTTCCATCACGATGAAATGAAAAAATATCACTTTTTGTGGGCTTTTAGAAGGAACAAAGACAGAAAGTACAAATGGGTGTGTTTGTGTTGCGTGTGTGTGTTGAATAAGGAATAAACAAACGATAAGAGCGTGTACTAGGTTGCGGTTGCGTTTGTTGCGGAGTAGCGGAAGTTGATGATGTTTTTTTGGGGGCGTTACTCACGTTATTGTTCGGAGGCGTCGATAGTTTAGTCTATCCTTCTTTCAGTCCCATAAATAATCCTCTCTCATTAACGGCTGTTTAAGGTTAAGAATATTAATTCCAATGAAATAAACTAATTAAGTAAAATGTCCTGCATTTTTTTTAGAATAGTTCTGTTTAATGAATAAATAATAATGATAAAATTAATAATAGAGAGATCAAAGAGAGGTACATTTTATAGAGGTACATTTTATATTGTAATGTGATCCTATTTATAAGGTCTATTTACAGGGTCTCGGGAGATAGAAAATCAAAGTCATTAAGAAAGAATAAGAGGAGGAAAAGAATAATAAGGATAAACATTCACATTTATCTTTATTCATAACTCTCTCTCTTGGATGTCTATTGAGGATATGTCTCGTTAAAACCTTATTAAAAAAGAGTACAATATCATTTCATTTCTCCCCCTCAGCTAAACGATCATTTCTTCGATGAAGATCAATCTTTTGTACTAGTTGATTAAAAATTCTATCTGGGAGTGACTTTGTGCAAATGTCTGCAAGATTATCACATGAACAAATTTGTTGGATGCTTATATCACCACTCTTTTGAAGATCATGAGTAAAAAAAGAACTTTGGAGAAATGTGTTTTATCTTATCTCCTTTAATATAACCATATTTTAATTGAGCAATACATGCAGTATTATCCATATATGGTCGTTGTATTCAATTTTTCGGAAGATAAACCACAAGTATTTTGTATGTGCTGAATTAATGATCTCAACCAAACGCATTCTCGACTTGCCTCGTGTAATGTTAAAAGTTTTGTATGATTAGAAGATGTTGCTATGGTTTGTTTCACCGATCTCCGTGAAATAGTTGTACCCCACATGTAAACAAATAACTTGTTTGTGATTTACCATTATGAGGATCTGATAAGTAACATGCATCTGCATAACCTGTTAATTCAAATTTGGATACTTTTGTATAAAACAAATCAATGTCATTGTACCTCTAAAGTAACGAAGTATATGTTTGACTCCGTTTCAATATCTTCGTGTAGGTGAAGAACTGTATCTTGCTAATAGATTGACAGAAAATGATATATCAGGACGTGTATAATTAGCAAGGTACATTAGTGCTCCAATTGCAATGAGATATGGTACTTCAGGGTCAAGCAATTCTTCATTCGTTTCTCGAGGTCTGAAAGGATCTTTCTTCACATCTAAAGATCTAACAACTATTGGAGTAGACAACATGTGATATTTGTCCATATAGAAGCGTTAATACTTTATCTATATAGCTTTCTTGATGTACAAATATTTCTTTGTCCAAATGTTCAATTTGCAAACCTAGACATAATTTTGTCTTACCTAGGTCCTTCATCTCAAATTCTTTCTTTAAACAATTCATTGCTTTTGGAATTTCTTCAGGAGTTCCAATAATATTTATGTCATCCACATAGATATCTATTATTGCAAATTTCTTTCATGGTCTTTTTATAAAAATACAAGGACAAATGGAGTTATTTGTATATCCCTCTCTAAGCAAATATTCACTGAGCCGATTATACCATATTCGTCCAGATTGTTTCAGCTCATAGAGAGACTTGTTCAATCTTATGGAGTAGCTTTCTCGAGATTCGGAGTTGTGCGCATCTGGTATATTGAACCCTTCAGGGAGTTTCATGTAAATTTCACTATCAAGTGAACCATAAAGATAAGTTATTACAACATCCATCATGTGCAAATTAAGCCCTTCATGTGCAACAAGGCTTATTAGATATCGAAAAGTGTTTGCATCCATTACAAGTGAATATGTTTCATCAAAATCAATTTCAAGTCTTTGCTAAAATCCTTGAGTAATAAGTCGAGCTTTATATCTCACAATTTCGTTTTTTTCCATTTTGTTTTCATGCGAAAACTCATATGTATCCAACTGGCTTCACACTTTTAGGTGTTCAGACTACAGGTCCAAAAACTTGTCTTTTGTAGAGTGAGTTTAATTTTGATTCAATTACATCTTTCCATTTTAGTCAGTCCTCACTTTGTCTACAAATTTTAATGACCGTTGGTTCGTGATCCTCTTTTCCATTTATCTCATAGCGTTATATTGTACGCAAAAACATCATCAATGTCGACTTCATTTCTGTTCCATTGTATTCCATCTTGGATATAATTTATCGAGATCTCTTTATTTTCATGAGTTTTAGGTACCTGATCAATCTATTCTAGAGATGAAATATTTATTATGTCTGATGCTTCTTTTAGATTTTCTATATCCTCACTTGGATCATCTTTATTCTTAGCTCCCTTTCTTGTTCAAGGATTTTTATCTTTGGAATCGATTGGTCTGCCACGCTTCAGGTGTGGTTGAGACTAATTGATTTGTCCAATAGAGATATCAAATTTTATTGGAGCATTTGCAAATGGTATATATGATTTAGTCACACATTTTAGATCAGTGAATGCATTTGGTAATTGATTTTCTAAGTTTTGCAACTGAATTATCTTTTGAACTTCTAGTTCACATTTTTTTGTTCGAGGATCCAAATGAGATAATGATAATTCATTCCAACTGATCTCTTTTTCCAGCTTCTTATTCTCCCCCCTAATGCTGGAAAATTTGATTCATCAAAATGACAATCAACAAAACGAGCAGTGAATAAATCTCATATTGTTTGTTCAAGGTACTTTAGAATGGATGGAGATTCATATCCAACATATATTTCCATTCTCCTTTGATGACCCATCTTATTGCGCTATGGTAGAGAAATTGGAACATACACCACACATCCAAAAATTCTTAGATGAGAAATATTAGGTTCTTTACCAAAAACTAATTGTAACTGGGAAGAGGTGTGGTAACTCGTTGGGCTGATGCGAATCAATGTTGCAGCATGCAAAATTGCATGTCCCCAAGCAGAAACTGAGAGTTTTCATCTCATAATAAGTGGTCTTGCAATTAATTTTATTAGTTTAATAAAGATTTTGCAAGTCTATTTTGTGTATAAACATGTGCTACTGGATGTTCAATGTCGATTCCAATAGACATATAATAATCATTAAATGCTTGAGATGAAAATTCTGTAGCATTATCAAGACGTATTTTCTTGACATGATAATCGGGAAAATAAGCTCTTATTCGAATCAGTTGAGCTAGCACTCTCGTAAACGCTTGGTTACGAGTGGACAAACAACAAACATATGACCATCTAGTTGATGCATCAATTAAAATCATAAAATATCTAAATGGTCCACATGATGGATGTATTGGCCCACAAATATCACCATGTATACGTTATAAAAAACTTATAGATTCATTTCCAATTTTTGTTGGTGATGGCCGAATTATCAACTTCCCTTGCGAGCAAGAACTGCATAAGAACTTATTTGATTGAATAATTTCCCTAGTCATTAATTGATGACCTCATGAATTTTCAATTATTTTTTGCATCATTATATAATCGGGATGGCCCAACCGGTCATATGCCAAATTAGAAATTTATCATTATTTGTAAACTTCTGGTTTACAATTGTATGTGCTTCAAATTGTACTAATATAAGTGTAGTACAAGCCACAAGATAAAGCATGTAGCTTTTCCATTACACGTTTTGTGTCCAGATTGTGTTTTGTAATACTGAAATTCTGGTATACAAATAACAATTTCCTAACACATGTTGAGACAAGGATCTCTGCATAACAACACTTGGACTAAATAAAGCACACTGATATAATTCATATCATAACAGATTCGTGACAGATGTTCCTACATCTTATATGACACGTCAATCAATCAAGAAATAAAATTAAATAATGTAGAATGATAATAACACAAAGATATGATGACCCGATTTAGTGTACAACAACACCTACTATGGGGGCTACCAATCCAGAAAGAAAGTCCACTATCAAAACTATTAGTTCAAAGCTAAACTCCCCCGTTTACAATTTCTCACCTAATCCCTACCCAATGACATTTCTACTTAGGTCCTCCCTAAATATGAGAAATCGCCATCTAACTTCCTAAATCACCTCAATGATATCTAACAATCACAAAGTTCAGCCAAGCCTCTTGACTAACAAACAAACTTGGATTTGCTTCAAAGTTTCATTCAAGAACAATAATCGACTCTATGCTTAAAAGCTTAAGAAAGATTGACACACGAACATTAAATGCTTACAAGCTTATGAATAAATGACATAACCTTACAACTCAAGGAACAATCCCACTCTTCTATCAACATGATAGTCGATAGACTCATAAATAACACAGACCAACTCTCCTAGAGAGTGGCACATAAACGAAGCCCTAATTTATTAGATCTTTACATTCACAACTCACTCAACCTTTTATTTATAACCCTTTACCTAACTGGATTTTGGGCTTCAAATTGCAGCATATTAGTCGATACGAATCTGCAGAAACTTCTACATAAAAATAGGTCTTCAATCAAAACCTTCCTAATTTGTCTCCATAATTAGAAAGTCAACATTCTTCTTGAATCCAACTTGAATCTTCCAGACCTTAAAATCAACGCCACATAGTATAGCATAATATTCCCAGAATATTTTGCATCTGTTAAATCTTAAACCGATCTAACAACCCAGCCCAACACAATCACGATGTCGAATGACTCTGCATAGGATATCTTGTCTGACACATTGCTTCAGTTGATGAAATATCTCAACTCAATATATTTCTTTATAAAATAGAACTTCTTGTTCAACCTATTTTTCTCAGCAAGTCATCCTATTTAACACATTGCTGCCATATTTATTTTACTAATATTAATGCCAATTCTAAAATAGAGAACTAACAATC